CAAAAAACTTGCACAGCAGTGAGGTATTAAATATAATTACAGTATGTATTAAATATAATTATAATGGGTATTAAATATAATTATAGTAGGGTATTAAGTGTAATTATTTATTCTTATAACAAAAAAATTATAAAAGACAGAAGAGCAGTGGGAATTAAATGTAATTATAGTGGGATATTAAATATAATTATAGTGAGTATTAAATGTAATTACAGTGGGTATTAAATGTAATTATAATGGGGTATTAAATATAATTATTCATAATGAACCGAATATATCACTGTTTTGTCGAAACGGTACTGTTTCGATCGAAACGGTTCGAAACAATGCCGTTTCGACCGAAACGGTCCGAAACAGTACCGTTTCGACCGAAACACTGGAATTTTGTGATTTAACTACTGTTTCGTTTCGGAGTGTTGAAATTCCGAAACGTTTCGGACGTTTCGGACGTGTCGACACGACATTTTGATCCTTGGCTACAATCTCTCTGTATGTCATTGCTGATCATCAGCAGAGGCAACCCACTGTAATGGTGCAGTGGTAGTTAGTGACAATTGTATGTGATTGTGTTGCTTTCATTCGAGGGAGTATTGAACAGTGGTGATCGCAGTGGGTTTTGTTGAGTGCAGTGATGGTTGGTTGGTGGTGAAGATTGCAGCTTGTCTGCAGGAAATGATGACCATAACATTTGGGAGAGACAAACACACACACAGAGAAAGTGGGAGAGAGAGGGAGATTGAAACATGGTGGCTATCTATAGGAAATTGGCCACAGTTGGGGGCCGCACCATTTGCATGTGCAACTGCCTGGAAAGTAACCGAGAGCAACATAAATGATCCAAGTCTAAACATGTGGCAGGTTGCTCAAGCTCCACTGGTAAATTTTAACGAGCTCTAAAAGACACTAGAGCTCTGCTGGTATAACACATGAGCAGACCTATGGCTAATGACCGAGTACATCACAAATCAAGCCCAAATAGCTTATATTTACTATGCTTATCAACTTATCACCCAAACCTTAAGTAAAGCTCAATAATTTCACGTGTTCTAAAATATGCTCAGGTTTGACTTGTTTACTTCAGAGTCCAAAATCGAGTAAGCTATTAACCCAACAAGTCACAAGCTAAGTTTAAGTAGCTTAATCCATTTTACAACCCTAGTAAACATAAAAGTTGCAAATAGAAAAACACTTTATATATTACACAAACATTTTTTGGGTGAGAGGGCTTAATTTCTAGATTTTTGAAATATTTAATTAAACCCTTCCAATCAAATTATTCAATTTGACTTATTTAACTACTTCCTCCATCTTTTGTAACTACTCACTATATTTTTGAATTATTTCAAATTTAAATTTTCACTCATTTTTCTTCATTTTTTTACATTTCACAAATTTTAATACATTAATGGGTAATTTCTTAGTAATATGAGGGTTGAAAAAGGGGGTGAAACTAGGTGATGGTTGGGGAGACAAATTCCGTGCATCACACGACACATCCACTAGTAAAAGTCATTATAGAAAAATTACTCAACTAACACTATTGACTTACGAAAATCTTTGTGGTTTTGGTAATATGACAACGAATAAACAAAAATTCTTCAAACTTTTTCCTAGGAGCAATGTCATTTTCTAAAGAGAAATTGAAGATTAGAGAAGAGAATTATCAAAAATAAAGATACAATTGTTAGCATGTTCCAAAGACACTAACCTTGCTTGTACACTTTATGAACTTTTGTGACTACTTGACAATTGTTGACCAATCTATTAATTGACGACTCAGGTCAATGACCTTTTTAACTGGATGCAACCAAAATTAATCGTAATCTTCTCACTACAGCTATTATACACTTAAGTGTTCTAATTTCTTCAAGGGCACTAGGTCATCTGATTGTCTATGCTATTTTTTCAATGGAATCAACATCACCCATCAACTTTAAGGGCATGTTTGGTTTGGTTACGAACAAAATATGGAATTTGGTCATTGGTTCCCATTCAATCCATGCGAATGGTATTAATAAACGTACTATTTGATCTTATCCTTTTGTGTAACAAGTTTGGATCCATGTTGGAATGAGATATAAATCTATAATTATAATACCATATTCATGTTTGGATTAGATAATAGTGTATGGTACTAAATTGAAAATGACAAAAAAAAAATATTGAAGGCAAGAGTTTGCAGAATGTGTAGCTTTTATATAAGGGTATGGATCTAGGTTTACTAGGATAATAAAGTTATTGTGTTTTTAATACTGAACCTATTAAAAATAATATCACCTACCACATGGTATTCATTAATACCTAATATTATGTGTTAAATGCCAACAATGAATGGGGCAAGATTACTGAGAAATTAATGTTGGGTCGCTATAATTCAATCAAAACTTGGTATTACATCATCACCAGATTAAATTAAAATCAAATCTTTTAATACCTGGACCAAATATGCCCTATGTGAACATGCCTAACTAAATATTCTTAGTTTCTCCCTTCAATAAGTACCTAAAATCATCATACTTGAAAGAGAGATATCCCGAGACCACAATGTCTATTGCAATATTTGGATATTTCTATAGGAATATAAAGAAACTGTATTATTAATTCAAGTGCAGTAACTATTAATCAATGCATGCAATTCAAACAACAATAAGATTCTCCAAAAGTCATACTTTCTTACAGAAGAATAAAGAACCTCGTGTATGATAACATGGAATATCATGTGTGAAATCACCTGGGAGAAATGCACGAATCAAAATGCTAGTATTATAATGCTTAACTATTTCAAGACAAAGACACCTGGTGCTTGTACAAATTATTGAAAAGGCGCAAGATATTTATCAACCTTTTGAACAAAGAACTGTAGTAATTCCCGGACATCACAAATAAACAAGAGGTTGCATAGCCAATAACTTTTGAGCTAAATTTTAAAGTCAGGACAAAGACAACGTGTGATTTTTGTTTGGAACACATAAATAAGAGGTTCTGTGTAAAATTTTGAGGTCCTGCCATCCATGCTGAGCACACACAACATTTTTTCTCCATATGCAGCAACTAAGACAATTCTCTCGACACCTAAGCACGTAAATTTTGCATACCGTGTATATGGCAGGGATTTTGAGCTTTTGCACAGCAACTCTTGCATGACTGGTATGGACACCTACATAGTTATTTGGTTCCATCAAAACACCATAAGAGGTATAAAGGTATCAATAACATTTATCAAACACCTATATATGGGCAAACATTAGGTGATGTCATTGCACCAAATCTAACAGCAGCAACATATCATGAATCTTATTACATCTACAACAATCCACTCAAAGTCTCAAATCCGTTTGATCCTGTGATTCACAACAATCCACTTATTGTCTTCAGATTGCAGAACATCAGTATTTTTCCTTTTGGTTGGTTTGGATTCATACACAGAGGCTTAAAGTCATAGATTTTTAACAATCAACTAATCAATAAACTCTGATATCCCTTTGAAGTGTATTTTCTCTCATTATGTTCACTGTTTAGAGCATCTCTAATCAGCAAAATTGGCAGGTGATCAATTCTCTCATGTCTTCTAGTGATATCCATGACTATTCAAAGCTCTTTTCTTGTCAACTTCTAAGTTTGGCCCCGCCTCCCTTTGCCAAACAGAAACGGAAAGAAACTTCTATTTATAGCCGTTGGCCAGCCTTTCCTTGCAAAGATGTGTATCATGTCAGGATCATCTGCTCAAACCGAATCACGCCAATGTTATGGAAGTTCTTGGATTGTGTAAAAGATCACCTTAAAATAGTCCATCTGTTGTCTACTCAATCAGTCCATTTGTTAGTAAGGAATTTATCGCCGTCTTTTCTAATAATATTTATTGCAATTGTTTGAATGATTTCAAGTGCTTTTTTGGGATTCTATACAGTCCATCAAGATGTTTTTCATCTTTTTAAGCTTACAGGCCGAATTAAATTAGAACCACCTTGTTTTTCCCTCTTTTTTTGGGGGGGGGTTGGTGTGTGTGTGTGTGGGGGGGG